GGACATGATCATTGCTGTAAGCCACACTGTAAGATCACAGTTGTCATTAATGTACGACTAACGACAGTACGACGCGTTAAAAACGGACGCAGTTTTACATCATCAATCAATGACCCCTTCAGTGACAGTGAGCTGCGTTACATGCGGGATTGAAATGGTGGCTACAAAGAAATCTATAATAGGGTGACCAACAGTCCTGTTTTCACAGGACATGTCCTGTTTTCACGTCCTGTCCTGGCTGTTTGTGATGAAAATGTCCTGGTTTTCAAAAAACTGCTGGGAAAGATCAGCTCTACAGCAAAATATAGATGAGCAAACAAGGAGGATGAGGAAGAAAAACTAAAGATATATATATATATTGTCAGTTCGTTTTTGTAAGTTTGTGAGAGCTATTTTTGTTCAATTTCGAGGTATTTCTTTTAGTTATTTATTATTTATATATTTATTTTTCTAATACAGAAGAGACATCAGTTCTATCATTATTTCATTCATTATTTTTGAAACCTGTCATAATAAAACATTTTTGAGAAGCCTATCTGAATTTGTGTCTTGTAATATAACAATTTTCTATCCATACAGAGGAGGCATAGCCCATTAATAAGACATCTTTGAGTAAACTTCGAGTATCATTTGAGTATCTGTTTCCCAGGCCGAGTGTCCTGGTTTTTGGTAATCAAAATAAGGTCACTCTAATCTATAATGTTACTTTCATATTGTGAATGTATAAATATAATAACTTAAGTATTGCGCTGCGGTTTCGAAGGAACCATGAGAAAGCATCGCAGGCAATTACATATTTAACAATCTCAAAATGGTCTGCCATATATATATTGCTCATAACTAAATAAAACAGGTAGGATACTGCAAGAGGAAGGTTGACATGCTGATGCACAACATGAGTTTGACCTTTATTTCTAAAATAAATAACTAATTAATATAAATGCATTCAAAATCAGTTTCCATTCCTTTGTCCAGAGTTGAAAAATGCTTGCTTTGATTTTCTGGGACAAGACTTTCGCGTGACCTGTGCAAGAATGTGACCATAATTTGACATTTTTAAAGTTCTTGTAGATTTGGGAAAACACCCGATGTGTGATTCACAAGCAGACATAGACACGAACCACATAAACACGTGCTGGGAAAGCAGACGATGCTGGTCTGACCTTTCAACCGCAGTTAAGTGGACTAGACAGTTCAGGTGTCTGGAGCTGTTAGTGGTAATCCAGGTCACACTGTGCATTACTTAAGGCGTGCCTTTCCACATCTGATTAAAAACCTCTCCATTAGATATTCACTGCATTAGCTGTGGCTGTTCTGGTGGTATATGCATGCACTTTCAAATCATGCTTCTGGAGGCACTGCATTCCAATTGGCCAGCAGAACATTTCCACTGACCAATCGGAGAGCTCACTTGCATTCTTTGCCTTGGAACATCATGACAACACGTCTTAACTGGCAGACCATTTTGAGATTGTTTAATATGTGATTGCCTGCGGTGCCGTAAATTGCTTTCTCATGGTTCCTTCGAAACCACAATACTTCAGGATATTTAATGTTCCACCAAGAGCTGTTTTATTAAAGCTGCTATCTTTTGACACCAGCAGAATGTTGTTGTTGTTGTAAGCACTTTTATTTCATAAAAGCCATTTGCACTATGTAAAAAAAAAAGAAAAAAAGTGTGATGAAACATATTTGTGCACTCCCCTTGGATTCAGCCTACAGCTGCTTAGAGTCTCCAGGTCACTGGGACATTTTTTTTCCTCGGTTTTTATGTACAGTGAAAAGCTTTCAGGAGTCTGTCTCATTAGTTTAGGATAAGGATGGATAACTCTCAGTGCAAATGGCCTTCTGTTTCCTCCCCTGCACCGCTTTGGAGTGCCGAGGTTGATCGTTTTATATTCTTACTGTGTGATCTGGTTGTTGTGGTGTCTGTTTGAGCCGGGTAGTAAATCATGCTGAGTGAATGATCTTATTTAACATCAATAAAACATTAATCTCTAATCACTCTCCATTCATCTGATAATTAGGGCAGGCTTAAGCTTATTTGCCAAATGGCATTATCATTACATATAGAGACCAGGCAATCATTTCGTGACTGCCATTACTGTAAACATATATCTATTGTGCTTAAAATTTTGAGAAGGTGTAGAAATAATTTTGATTCAAACAAAAGTTATTTTTATGGAAAAATAAATAGTCATTGCTACTAAAACAAATGATAACAAAAGGTTTATGAAGTACATAGTTTAAATAATTAGGTTAATTATTCAAATACAAAATAATAAATAATAAGTTAAAAAAGGTGCAATTACTGATGTTTGGAAATGTGTGGTCCATCACTGTTAAAAAGAGACCTAAAGTGCCCCCTATTGGATTAAAGTGTAACTGCTTGTTCAAATATTACAAAACATCGATAGCCAGACAGACAGATGGATGGATAGAATGATAAATCTATAATGATAGATTAAATGAATGTCTTCCAAATTTAAAGAATGCATGTATGTGTATATATATATATACACACATCTACTTCAGCATAATAAGCTAAAATATTCACATTTCCTATCCCTTATTCAGAAGACCTATTGCATTTGGTACAAAAGTTTGATATATTTTTTTAATTGCTTTATAACAATGACGATATGGTAATAGTTCAAAAGCATGATTCAAAGGGTGTGTTGTGTCTCTTGTTATAGCCAAAGCTTGGATCCTTTGATTTTACCTGCCATTCTTGTAATTCTGTTTAAACTTGTATGAACTCTTTGCAAAACAACCTGACTTGCAGAAAATTCTCCCAGTTTCCAGAGCAGGAATAACCACTGATTTGCTTTCTTAAAGATAAGATCCACATTATCAGAAAAATTCTATTTACAGTCAATCATAGTTCCCAAATAGTTAAGTCTTCACAATTTCAACAGGTTGATCACATAACATTATTTTTGTTAGGGGCTCTGGGTAATTTAATTATTTTGTCTTACCGACAGTCATCCATATAGAACTCGCTTCACACCATTTTTCTAGTTTTAACACCTGCTCTTCATACTCTTACGCAGTCTTTCCATAAAAGTGCAACGAGTGCCATATCATCTGCATATTTGTATCATTTATCTGCATTCTTATTTCACTTGTATAAACAGAGAACAAGAGAAGTGACAGAACACATCCTTGACGTGCCCCAGTATTTAAAAACACTATATATATATATATATATAGAACAAATTGAATTTAATTACATTTAATTGGAATATGAAATGAAAAATTAATAACTTAAACTTCAATATGTTCCTCACAGAAGGCTATGGGACAAAGTGACTTGGCTCAGACTGCTTTTTTCCATAAATTTCCCCCTTTTAGCAAAAGAACGTCGTATTTGTTGTTTTGACCATTTTTTGTTGTTGATGTTGTGTCCAAAATCACAATCATCCACTGATATTCAGATCATGAGCTCAAGTAGCTTGCCCCAAATTTTTTTTTTTTTTTTTTTTTTTTTTTTTCTTAAACAGAATTGATTGAATTATCAGTTTGGGACAGCTTTCATTATGTTGACAGCTGGTCCGTGCATAAGCTCTTTCCATGAATTAGAGGGGGCAGCGTTTCTGTCTGATCAGCGTATCATTACAGTCAGTGGTGGAGATACTCTGTTGTTCTTCTTAATTTATGGGGCTGTGTGATTTTGTAAGATTGCTTACAAAGGGAATGGCAATTGATGGCGAGCGTTCAAAATTTAAATCTTTTCTTTTGGCTCTGTCCTTTTCTCTGTATATCATCCCTGAGACAGATTCACAACATAACACGCAGATCGGTTTGTTTATTCCATGGTGTAATGAAAGCAGAGATACAAGAGATACAATTACTATTTACTTCATTTATCCACTGTAATATCCTATTCTATGTCATATTTGTTCTTGTAACGCACTGATACAGCTTCAAGTGACAGTCCTTACAGCTGACAGACAGTACTACATGGCTAAATGTTGCGTTCTGTCAAATGCATGCATGCTGTTCTGCGTCAAATACAAGTAGACGGGGAGTAGAACACTTATGAAAACACGAGTTGTGAAGGAGCTGTTCTCCACTGAGGGTATTTTTACAGTAGCAGCCCACTGAAGTGTAGCAGCTCTGACAGAAGGCTCATTTAAAGCACAGGTGTGTTTCAGAGTCTATGGCTGAATCTGAAATCACCAAATTCCAATCGCCTTTGTTAGTCCACAAATACAGGTCCCTTGAAGGAGTGAATGAAAACGAGTGAGCGAATTCGGACAGGCGTTGGCTGAGCGAACATCGGATGTACACTCGTTATTACGGTGCAATGTGGGATAAAATGAGTGGACTTAATAACGTCCACTATGGTTTCGACACCACTTCAAATGGCTGTCGCCTTAAATAGTGCACTATTTGAGATAGCGGGCGATTTCGGATTCAGTCTATGTCAATCCTGACAAACACAGTGACCACTGCGGTCAGACACAAAAGTTAAAATAATGTCATGTTTGTGTTGTTCCAAACCTGTGATTTTTCTCGCACAAAAGAAGGTTTAGCAAAATGCTCTTTCTCTTATGAAACAAGCAAACAATGAGATTGTCAGTGTTTTTTAGTATCATTGATATGCAATTATACTTTTTGTTAATATTTTGAATTAGATTTTTTTCACTTCAATTTAAAGTTTTAAGTAATTATGTTGTGCTTTGCCATTTTTAATAGTTTTTTCTTTTTAAAACTTGTGTTTTTTATTTATTTGTTTTAGTTTATTCAGTTTTAGTATAAACACAAAAAATGGCAACTAGTTGGCTGAAATAAAATGAGTAATTTTTTTTTTTACATTTTCTTTTATTTAAGATAACATTTATTTTTATTTTCAAAGAATGATTTTTCTTCCCATAAAAAAAAAAGTCTGGCCTTCTTAAAATGTGGCCCTCCAAACTCTCATTGGCATATAATTGAATTTGTATTTCTTTTAAGTTTTTTTTTTTTTTTTTTTTTTTTTTTTGATGTTCACCTGTTCACTTCTTTCTTGGTTCACACTGCTCTTTGTTAAACCCTCTCCTTTTGTCTTGGAAATAAACCAAGTCATGGGGTTTGGAACAATATGAGGTTGAGTAAATGAAAGTTTTCATATTTGTTGATTTTTTTTTTTTTAACAGAGCCTCTGTTCACTGCCAGTGGATTGTCAGATGGTCCCTAAACAGAAAAAGTTAAATGAAATAATTGAATGACTCTCAGGGAAAATAAAATAAAGCATATTTTAGAATCAAATTCAAATTGAGTCTAGCAGAAATTATGAGATTAAACAGAGATGAAACATTTCAGTCTATCGACATTCATGTCAACATTGTGTAAAATTGTAGCAATTTCTTTAATCAAAATGGAATGTAAACCACTGACTCATAAACTGTTTTCAGATATGTTTTGTTTGTGCTTTTGGTCTAATGACTATGCAAGTTTATTCCTGTCATCCAATCTGATTGACCAAGCAGTGGAGGACAAGTATATTCAAACTGTTCAAATGTAGTCAGAAATGTTGTTTACTATGTTATTGTCTTGTGAATCGTCGTTGTATAACAGCAATATCATATTGGTGCTGTTATATCATGTGCAGGTAATTACATCCATGTGACGTCTCCTCACCTATACTTGTGGAGTGATTCCCCTCATCGTCTTCCCCGGAGTGGGTTTTCTTCGTTAAATGACGCACGATGTTAGTGGCATTAAAGGCTCTCTGGAACACAAGACACCAGCGATAATGCTGCAGAATCCAGTGATATAAAATATCTTTAAATGGCAAAAGGTGAACCTACACTACACATAAGAGCAGAAGAGTCTGTGTAATGTTAAGAGGCATTTATTGCACTAAAACTAAAAGCCTGATAGTTACAGCAATTACATCATTTGCCCTTAACCGTCTCCAGAGCGTCGGCGCACTGAAGCGTTTTTTTTTTTATTTAGTTCAAATATACTATCAGATTTAATGTTATACCTTGACAAACTATACATCATTAAAAAGATATAAGACTCAAGATTCAGTATTTGACCACTATTGTATTCTGAGAAACTTATAGTGACAGTTATGTCTTAATTTGTGTCAGGAGTTATGAAATTAAAAAATGAGTCGTTACCTTTAATATGAATTATGAGCGTCAGCTGGTCTCATTCAGAAAAAAACTCCCGTGCGATCGTCATGACAGCGCTTGACAAAACAACGTCCCTCAGGGCTTTTAGCTCAAACATGTGCAGATTTGGAGAAATATTGATAGATTCTCATAGCTTTACATCAGACTTCTATAGACAGGAATAATATTTATTGAATTTATACCCAAATGCGTCGATGTAATCATTTTGAGCGCTGTATACTCTGTACTGTGTTATCAATTCATCCTGAAAGTGAGGGCGCTGTTTGCACATAAAGTCCATATATGGATCACATGAAGAAGAGCCATAATCATGTGACATTCAGGAAGTCCTGCCACAACAAAGCTATCCGAGATCGCTGTAAAGTGCAGATAAAGATGTTTTGAAGACAATAAACATGATTGCAATGATATTTGATTTACCTGTGTTCTTCGAGTCATGTCAGGTATTTTCATAATAATTGATTATATGTATAATGTAATGCTAATCGAGATAGACTTTCAAATTGTGCAGAATACAATAAAATAATATATTTTCTATCTGATTTTTTTATCTGAAGCCAAATCAGATTACAGAAAGTTATTTAAAACACTCGACTTGCGCTATAAAGTAAGTTTGGAGAACAAACATAGTTTTATTCTCATAAATTGTCGTGTATTGATGGTGTGCTAAGCTAACATGCTAGCTAGTACTGAGCACCTGCTACCTTACTTCGGTGTAATTTTTATGATTTTTTTCTAAATAAGAATGCTTACTGAAATGTTTCGTTTTTCAAAAAGGGCATTTGATACAGTTTCACTGTGAAGTGAGAACTTTTATAAAATAAATGAGGGATTGAAACAGTGTGAATTGCTAGTCGTTAGTGATTATAATGCAGACAAAAGAAAAGCATATTTAGAGCAATAAACTGGCTGGAGAGGTATGAATATGTGCAGGGGAGACTGAGACTGAATGGGGCTCGTTTTTGCATCACAAAACAATAGAGGCAATAGACTGAATAGATGCTTATAAGAAAACAATAAACACCAGTCTAATCAAAATAAAGTCATATGACATGATCTTGAAAAACATTGAACTAAATACAGAGTTTTAGACTTATCATCTTCAGATTTTAAATATAACATGGTTAGACATGTGGCTTTAGCTGCAGTGCATTTCTAGATTGCTACAATGCCAACTTCAATTTTATTTTCATGAAGATGTTTCATAAAAATAAATGTATAATAACTTTACAAAACTTTGAAGCTATTTATAACTATTTTTTTTCATTATGACAATAATTAATTCTACATTTACAATAAACTTCCAGGTGTCAGCTTTCAAATGAGATCTTACTTGTGCTTTTAGTACAAAGGGTTCATGAACTGTATCTGTTTCAGTTTGGGAATGCCATATCTGGGGATTTTTCAAAAATGGGCTTGAAGCTTAACAGGTTAAAAGTACAAGCCATAATTGCATTGCAGGGCAGACTTTCAGAAGTCGAACAACAACGACTGGCGTCAAATAATAACAAAGCCTCCATATGCCGCTAAAGTAACTCTAGCCATACATTTACAAATGCAAAGTGTTGTTTCAGCCACAGAGTTCACCTGACACCGGTCATGTAGAGCTGTTTCACACATCACACATGCAGGATGGGAGTCTTATACTGTAACTACTTCAGTAGTCTGGTACTTTTTTTTATATTACTTAAAGGGTTAGTTCACCCAAAAATGAAAATGATTTCATTAATGACTCACCCTCATGTCGTTCCAACCCCGTAAGACCTCCGTTCATCTTCGGAACACAGTTTAAGATATTTTAGATTTAGTCCGAGAGTTTTCTGTCCCTCCATTGAAAATGTATGTACGGTCAACGCATTCTCATCCCAAAGCGTCATATACTGACGCTTTTGCCAAAGCTCTACATCCGACGCACATGACACCCTTTAGCGTCAATATAACACGCTTCGGTTATCGGTAGGTTTAGGTCTGGGGTAGTGTTAGGGTTAGACCACTAGGAGGCGCCATATATCTGCATCTCATATTGATGCTAAAGGGTGCCATGTGCGTTGGATATAGACGCTTTGGCAAAAGCGTCAGTATATGACGCCTTGGGATGAGAACGGGCTGGTACGGTATACTGTCCTTGTCCAGGAAGGAAATAAAGACATCATCAAAGTAGTCCATGTGACATCAGTGGGTTAGTTAGAATGTTTTGAAGCATCGAAAATACATTTTGGTCCAAAAATAACAAAAACTACGACTTTATTCAGCATTGTATTGTCTTCCGGTTCTGTTGTCAATCCGCTTCAGTGACGCTGCTGACGTAAGACGCTGCTGATGTGTATCTGGTGCGTCCATGTATTCGGGTTCAAATAAATATGGCTGGCCAAAAAATGCAAGTCTTAGATGTTTGAAATCCTTAGATGTTTGTGAAGATTGTTTTGTTTCCAGCGTGCGTCTCCCTCAGACTGTAAACGAAGCTCAGGCGCACCAGACACACGTCAGCAGCGTCTTACGTCAGCAACGTCACTGAACGCGGCTCGACAACAGAACCGGAAGACAATACAATGCTGAATAAAGTCGTAGTTTTTGTTATTTTTGGACCAAAATGTATTAACCCACTGACCCACTGATGTCACATGGACTACTTTGATGATGTCTTTATTTCCTTTCTGGACAAGGACAGTATACCGTACATACATTTTCAATGGAGGGACAGAAAGCTCTCGGACTAAATCTAAAATATCTTAAACTGTGTTCCGAAGATGTTCGGAGGTCTTACGGGCTTGGAACGACATGAGGGTGAGTCATTAATGACATAATTTTCATTTTTGGGTGAACTTACCCTTTAAGAATCGTCCGCTTATAACTAATGGAGTGGTTCTTAAATGGTTTTGTTTCAGGACCCAGATTTGAACTGATAACACTTTACAAAACGGGTGCACTAATATGCATGAATTCATGCTTAACGAATGCACAGATAATCACATGTTAATGTAAGACTCATGAAGAACTAAACCATTAATTAATGATTACTGCATCAGCAACTAATAAAGAGTCTAAATTATTAATAGATTAAGTAACATGAATTGCTATTAATTAAATGTGTCATTTATCAATTCCTTAATAACATATAGTATTAGTGTAAATGAATGTGTTAATTACCACAATTGGTCAAAGATATTTACTTCAACTTCCAGTTATCTGCTTTAATGAATCATTAGCTAATGATTTGCAATTATCATTATGTTATGACTTTACTTGTTGAGGCACATGACTATTAACTAATTGTTAAAGGAACACTCCGACTTTTTGGGACTTTAGCCTATTCACCTTATCCCCCAGAGTTAGAAAAGTCCATACATACCTTTTTCATCTCCGTGCGTGCTATAAGTCTGTTTGACGCACCCACCGCTAGCCTAGCTTAGCACAAAGACTGGATGTAAATGGTTGCAGCTAGCATACTAATCCAAATAAGTGACAAAATAACGCAAACATGTTTCTATTTACATGTTGTGATTTGTATAACTTAGTCACAGAGTGTACAAAAAAACAAAGTCACATGAGACACAGACATATTTTAACCGTATAAATACTGGGAACTATATTCTCTGAAGGCGACTATATTCTCTGAAGGCGAAGCACTGCTACTTGGGCGGAGTGATAACCGCAGCACCTGAGACGCGCTCTCTGCTCCTCACCACGGCGCGTCTCAGGTGCTGCGGTTATCACTCCGCCCAAGTAGCAGTGCTTCGCCTTCAGAGAATATAGTTCCCAGTATTTATACGGTTAAAATATGTCTGTGTCTCATGTGACTTTGTTTTTTGTACACTCTGTGACTATACAAATCACAACATGTAAATAGGAAAATGTTTGCGCTATTTTGTCACTTATTTGGATTAGTATGCTAGCTGCAACCATTTACATCCAGTCTTTGTGCTAAGCTAGGCTAGCGGTGGGTGCGTCAGATAGAGTTACAGCACGCACGGAGATGAAAAAGGTATGTATGGACTTATCTAACTCTGGGGGATAAGGTGAATAGGCTAAAGTTTCAAAAAGTCGGAGTGTTCCTTTAAGTAATATGACGGTTATGGACCATAACCGTCATATTACTTAAAGGAACACTCAGAGTTTGACATCCCCTCTAAAGGTCTGTGGGACAGTTGCACAGTGAATGCTGTGTCAGAGAATGTGTTTGAGTAAATTGGGATGGACACAATTATCAGCACACCAGATTAGCCCCTTTCACACTGGTTCTAGGAACTAGCCACCAGGGTGGTTTCCCGAGAGCTAAATGTTCCCCTAGGACCATTTTCCTGGTTGTGACTTTTATTTTGACGGCGCTGAAAACGCCAGAGCCTGAACACACAGCGCTCCCATTCTTGCGTTTGCTGTGTGGTTGATGGCCAATGTCGCTAACTGAGCTGAAATACATAATCATGTTTCGCTTGGTCCCCTTAAAGTTGGATTGGATTACTTCCGCCATTAGTTCTAGGAACTATGAAAAGGTTCCTCCAGTGCAAAAGCCCCTAATCTGAACCACTGACCGCTGTTACACCATGTTTAAACTGAACTTATAACTGTAAAAAAACAATATCCGTTAAATTTACGGGAAAAAACTGGCAGCTGTGGTTACCAGAATTTTCCTGGTAGCAACATTTTAGGTTTTACAGACTTTTAACCGTATATAATTTTACAGCAATAAACCGTATTTCATTACCTGATATAATGTTTTGAAGTACTAATATCTGTTTTATACTATTGTAATACACTGACAGCCACCATAAACAGCGGAGATAAGTCACATGATTAATCACAGCTCATCACAAGTAGCTTTTCGAAATTAAAGTTAATACTAATATAGAAGCTGCACAGCTTCATTCACACACACACTAAACACCATCATGGTAACAACATGTTGAAATTTTAAAAATGCAATAAATATGACTTTAACAACATTAAATGTAGGCTAATATAAAACCCTAATGTACATAAAAAAACTAAGAAAATTATGAAGAAACAGTTATTTCAACAAACATACATCAAATGTGTAGTGTCACGCAAGGAATTGTGGGAATGTCATTTTACGGTTTTTCCAAAAACTTAAGTAAAATTACATTAAATGTACCATTATATATATCACAGTTATTCACCGTATATAGTGCAGAAACTTTCTGTTAACCAATTAACAATTTTTCACTTTTTCACATTTTTACAGTGTTTTACCGTTAAAATCACGATCATTTTTTACAGTGAATGGCTATTATCATGTCATGCCGCAACAGCTGTCTACACTGGACATGACAGACCATTGCAAGTCCATTTGTCCTTCAAAACAGAAGTAGCACAAGAGCTTGGAGTACATCAGAAATAGAATATGGCATCAGTTTACTGTTGAGGTTTTGTTGTGTTGTGTTGTGTAGCGTCGCTCCGCATCCAGTGTAGTATCACAGATTATAATGGCTTCTATTGTCTTTGTCCAGTCTAGACACAGTGTTAGAAAAGCAGTGCCAGACCGCATGTTCTCAGTGTTCCACCTTTGTAACCTAGACCTCAAGCTTGTCCTGACATATTTCTGTGCAATGAACAAGACGACACTGGATGCGGCTGTTCATCTGGCGTAGTGGAAGTGGAAACTGAAATCCATGGCTTAGTGTGGATGTCAAAAGCAAAATGACATATTACTTTACTTGTTGAGGCACATGACTATTAACTAATTGTAAAGTCATAACATAATGATTAAATTATAGAAGGCAACTGGAAGATGAAGTACATAGCTTAGACCCATTGTGGTAATTAACACATTAATTGACAGTATTAATTAATGTTATTAAGGAATTAATACATTATGACACATTTAATTCATAACAACTCATATATTACTTAATCTATTAATCATATAGACTCTTTAGTTGCTGATGCAGTAATCATTAATTAATGGTCTTCATGAGTCAGATCAAGTCATCCTCATTTATATAGCGCTTTTAATATTGTAGATTGAGTCATGCATTAACACGTGATTATCTGTGCATTATTTAAGCATAAATGAATGCATATTAGTGCACCCGTATTGTAACGTGTTGTCAACCAATCAGATGAGAACTGGTGATTTCAACTATTTTTGTGTACAATATGCACCAGACGGTCTGTGTTGCGATCATGTTTTCTTCCCTGTTGTGTATATCAGAGTCAAATGGCTTATCGGACAAATGTAGTGTGGGACTTGATTTTGTCCATCAGGAATTGATTGGATGGTTGTTGTTTGCTATTGTTCTGACAGGTTGTTCCACCCTCACGGCAGTAAACACATCTTTAGAGAATAGAAGAGATGTCGGCTGCGTCCAATGACTTTGTTGGCAGCGTTTGTGCACGAAGGTACCACGCAAAACTTATTCCTGATAGACTTCTGTGGCAGAGTAATGGTCTAATGAGCTACAGCAAAACAGAGCAAGCTTTAGTGAGAACCAAGAAAATATTTAATTAAATAATAATAAATAAAAAAATGATTAGAAATGACATCAGAAGTGGATAACGTTGGTCAAAACGTACATTTTACACACAAACTGATCACCAACTGCAACTTTCAGACAGCATCTTTATTTTTTAGCTCAAATGTCACAGAATGGAAAGCACAGGATTGTGGGATATCAAAGGCAGCGAAGGATACACCTATGCTGCCTTCAAAAATCGATCAGATGAAGTTATCTCTTGAGACAGGAAGTGAAGCTAACATTGGTGCCTTGATGCCTTCCTACCTTGGACTGAATCTTCCGAAGGCAGCATTTTTAAGCTTTCGGGTGCAGCCGTCATTGCACGAGGGAGGGGGAAGTTATTTTAAATGAGGATTATGAGGGAACATGAATTTTAAGAAATGTGCACGGAAAATCATTTATTATAAATACTGCAATATTCCATAAAAAAACAAGAATTGTCAACTTTGATTTTTATGATGATTTTATAGTTGACAGGTTTGTTTCATCACTCTTACCTTCCAGTGACTCTTGGCAAAGGTTTTCTGAATCTGTGCTGACACTGAGCCGTGGATGTTCTTGTCCAGAGCTGCACCTCCTGATATCCTGCCACGACAACATTATATTCATTCAAAATGAAACGTACACTACCGTTCAAAAGTTTGGGGTCAGTTGTTTTTTGGTTTTATTAATATTAATATTTGTATTCAGTATTAAATTGATCAAATGTGACACTAAAGACATTTATAATGTTACAAAGGAGTGAAATTTCAAATAAATTATGTTCTTTTGAACTTTCTGTTCATCCAAGCATTCTGAAAAAAGGTTTACGTAATATTTAGCAGCACAACTGTTTTCAATGTTGCTAATAATAGGAAATATTTCTTGAGCAGTAAATCAGCATATTAAAATGATTTCTGAATGATCATGTGACACTGAAGACTGGAGTAATGATGCTGAAAATTCAGCTTTGCATCACTGGAATAAATTAGATTTTAAAATATAAATAAATAAATCCAGCCTTCGTGGGCGTAAGAGACTTCTTTAAAAACATTTTTTTATATATATTACTGACCCCAAACTTTTGAATGGTAGTGTTCACTAGAACACATACAACTTATATCATGCAACATATAGCATAGCATCCAAGTTTCCATGGGAGACGAAATCTGAAATGAGATCTCTTTCATATCTCAATTGTTTCTCCTAGACTACAGAATTCAAATTAAAAGCAGAGCAAATGGGGACTGTAAAAGGGATAGTTCACCCAAAAATGAAAATGTTCTCATCATTTACTCACCGTCAAGTTGTTCCAAACCTGTATGAGTTTCTTTCTTCTGTTAAACACAAAAGAAGATATTTTGAAGAATGTTGGTAACAGTTGATGGAACCCAATGACTTCCAAAGTATTTTTTTCTCCTACTATGGAAGTCAATGGCAACCATCAACTGTCTGGTTACCAACCTTCTTCAAAATATCTTTTGTGTTCAACAGAAGAAAGAAACTCATACAGGTTTGGAACAACTTGAGGGTGAGTAAATTATGACAACATTTTCATTTTTGGGTGAACCATTCCTTTAAGTCTGTAGTTTCTTAGATTTTTATTTTGAGAAAAAGTATGTGTCTCCTCAAGAGCTCAGAAGAGATCTCAACACTGATCTCCAACTGTGCTCAGTTTGTAAAATATGAAAATGAAGTCGGGAGATCTCAATAGACCCTAACCCTAACCCTAACCCTCACTGAATATTTCTGAGACATATTGATCTGAGATGTTATCCTCATTTATTTTATAGCTCTAGTTTTACTGTATGGCAACAGTTGTCTCGTTTTAGGCCTCCTAAGGAACATTAGAAACATCTCAGACAAATGGCCAGAAAAACAAATGGCCAGATGGCCAGAAAACTAGCATAATCGGTAACTCAAAGGACTCTTTTTAGTCAAGATCTGAGCAACTAAAACTTTCTTCTGGGTAAATATAATGTACAAGTACCACAATAATCCAGTGCCATTTCTCTGAATGCATTCCTCTCTGTTCCATTTCATTTCCGCAATGAAAATCATAATTGTTTTGTGCTTCTTAAAGATCTTATACAATCTCAGCGTGATCTGCAGGTTAAGAGACATCTGTTTATTCCACATTTCATAATCCTCTTCCTGCTTGCGCACTCCCTCCCACAGATGTGACCCAACTCTTCATCTGTTCTTCAAGGACAGTCTCTCTTTTCACTGCCGATCAACCCGTCCGCCTCTTTCCTGCTATTTATGGACTCACCAAGGATGCAGCAAGGCCTGGTCACAATTGAACCTCTTCACTGGATTCTTCTGCAGTAAGTGAACTATGAAGTCTTTCGCTGAAGCATTATAGGCAGGAAGAGGCAGAGAACACAAGAAGATCAATACCAGTTAATGTGGCCATCATTTGACATGTTTAGGGCTGCATTATAATACATTCTGCATTAATACAATGGGAGAAGTTTTCAAAACCGTTTGTGAAAGCTTTAATGCTCCAATTCTGTTTCATCCCATAAAACTATTTCCTAAGCAATTGCAGAAAGCAAAAACATTGGTTATAATTTAAATGGAACGACATGTTGAGAAAATAACAGTTTACATTTGTATTCCTTTAAGACATTTAAAATGTATATGTAACTGAATAATATATGCATAATGCAAATGCATTATGAAACAAAATATCAAACCAAGTGGCATTTACTTTGAATAAAAATCAAGTAAATCATTTCACAAAAAGAAGTTTGTTATATAGGTTTTAAATCATAAAGCAAAAAAAAAAAACTTAATTGGACACTTGGTTTAGTATTTTGTATTTTAAGCGTAAATATTTTAGGGGCACATTTTGGACCTTCATAACCCTTTCTCCTCAGTCCAAATTTCACAAAATTTTTGTACGAAAAAAAAGTTTTTGCACATTTCACAACAGCAGCATTAAATATTGAGAAATGTAAATAAGAAATCTCAAATATAAATATGGCATTATGCGTTATTAAAAGCAACCAATACATTGGTCTGACTCACATAACTTCACCTAAAAATACTTTTGGCACAGACCAAGAAAATATAAAAAAGATTTGTCCAGTATACAGGCATTTGGACTGAGGAGGCTATGAATGTGATTTGGTCATTTATTCTGTACAGTACATTCATTAAGGTTCTTTATTGGCATTGATGTTTCCATAAAGAACCTTTAACATCCATCGAATCTTTGCATTACACAAACGTTTCTTTAAAGTGGAAAAAGGTTCTTCGTGTTATTAAAATGTTCTTTGCACTTTTAAAACTGTTCACTGAAAAGGTTCTTTTGTGAAAACCAAAAAGGGTTCTTCTATGGCATCTCTGTGAGAACCCCCTTTTGGAAGTGTATGAGAGATTAGGAATTGTCATGGTCATACCGGAGTAAGAGATGTCATCCCAGTATGGTGAATCAAATTCATATTCAGCCTTTATGATCAGCTTGTAGAGTTGTGTGTCGTTGTCATCGTAGAACGGAGGATAGCCACAGAGTCTGCCAGAAAACGAAGAATGCTGATACAGACTCTCAGTTCTGTACTGTGCTGTTTATCATACACAGTTTATACATTATATATTAATCCATCACTCACAGAATGAATGTAATCACCCCAATGGCCCAGAGATCCACCTCTTTACCGTAAGTCTTCTGCTGTAGAAGTTCAGGAGCTATACATATAGTGAACATCAGTAGTCATACGTTACAGTCAGTGGCAAAGACTACACTTTCAAAACTTCAGTGGTTTTTCTAAGCAGAAAAAGACAACATCATTGGCTATATAGGGTTCTTTAGTTAGAAATTAAAGAAAGTTCCTGGTGTCACATTAGGTTCAGATCAGTGTAGTTTATTATTTAATTTTTTTGTGCATATTATTTGCTGTCAGACCAGACTTGATTCTGTATGTTACTGCACAATATATTAGTTCATAATCATGATCATGAACCGTCTCTCTTACCAACATAGGCAGGTGTCCCACAGGCCGTGGAAAGAGTCCCCTGCTCTTCCATTTTAGACAGACCAAAGTCACTGATGACAATTTTGGAGTCTTCTAATGGAGTCTCATACAATAAATTCTCTGGCTAATGGAGAGAGAACTTATTGTGATTGTAATATCCACTCAGCTGCATGCGAAGCACCCACAGTGAAAGGCTGGAATTAAAACTATATCCAACATACTAATGCTCAAAACAAAACCTAAAAAGACCCTCATCATGAATGCTCTGAAACTAAAACTGTTAAAAACCTAGATTAAAGTGTTATATTTTGTTCTCGGGTACCTTTAGGTCTCGATGAACAACACCCAGCTGGTGTAGATACTTCACTGCCTGCAGAACCTGAGATATGACCCGACTGGCATCTTTCTCTGTGTAACTGCCTCTCTCCAGAATCCTGTCCAGTAGTTCTCCTCCTGTCAACCTGCAGGAGACACTGTAATCAGCACTGACCTCATTACATCTGTCCATCTATCTATCTGTCTGTCTGTCTGTCTGTCTGTCTGTCTGTCTGTCTGTCTGTTGGTCGGTCGGTCTGTCTGACTGTCTATCTGTCTGTCTGTCTGTCTGTCTGTCTGTCGGTCATTTGGTCTGTCTGTCTATTGTTTGGTCTGTCTGTCTATCTATCTATCTATCTATCTATCTATCTATCTATCTATCTATCTATCTGTCTGTCGGTCATTTGGTCTATCTATCTATCTATCTATCTATCTATCTATCTATCTATCTATCTATCTATCTATATATCTGTTTGTATGTTGGTCGTTTGGTCTATCTATCTATCTGTCTGTCTGTGGTTTGGTCTATCTATCTATCTGTCTGTCTGTGGTTTGGTCTATCTATCTATCTATCTGTCTGTCGGTCGTTTGGTCTGTCTGTCTGTCTGTGTAACTATCTGTCTGTCTGTCTGTCTGTCTGTCTGTCTGTCTGTCTGTCTGTGTAACTATCTGTCTGTCTGTCTGTCTGTGTAACTATCTGTCTGTCTGTCTGTCTGTCTGTCGGTCGGTCGTTCGGTCTGTCTGTCTGTCTGTGTAACTATCTGTCTGTCTGTCGGTCGTTTGGTCTATCTATCTATCTATCTGTCTGTCGGTCGTTTGGTCTATCTATCTATCTGTCTGTCTGTCTGTCTGTCTGTCTGTCTGTTGGTCGTTTGGTCTATCTATCTATCTATCTATCTGTCTGTCGGTCGTTTGGTCTATCTATCTATCTATCTATCTATCTATCTATCTATCTATCTATCTATCTATCTATCTGTCTGTCTGTCTGTCTGTCTGTCTGTTGGTCGTTTGGTCTATCTATCTATCTGTCTGTCTGTGGTTTGGTCTATCTATCTATCTATCTATCTATCTGTCTGTCGTTTGGTCTATCTATCTATCTATCTATCTATCTATCTATCTATCTATCTATCTATCTATCTATTTGTCTGTCTGTCTGTCTGTTGGTCATTTGGTCAATCTATCTATCTGTCTGTCTGTCGTTTGGTCTATCTATCGGTCTGTCTGTCTGTCTGTCTGTCTGTCTGTCTGTCTGTCGGTTGTTTGGTCTATCTATCTATCTGTCTGTCTGTCTAATCCTACAGTATAAAACACAAAACTTTAAACTAAATTAATTCTTAACTACAATATTTTCATTTTTCACACTTTGGCCCACTCACAGTGTCATTACCAAATACAGTTTAGTAGGAGTTTCGAAGGTTTCCTCCAAAGACACAATATTTTCATGATTTATTCTGCAAAGAAATCACAGGGACATAAAAAAAAATGCATTTTTTTTTACCAAATCAGAAAAGACTTGTAAAATGCAGCTGTGTTTTAATAATATCCACGATAATGTAAACAACCCTTCATAAAGTCAAACAATTAAATCAATCCAGAGCATTTTGTAAAATCACTGACCTGCGTAATACTGCAATCTCATTCTCCAGCATGGGTTCTTTCCCCTTTAGCGCTCTCTTGCGGATGCACTTGACAGCCACAAGCTTCTGGGTGCATCTGTGCTGAGCCACTCGAACCTCAGAGAACGAGCCCCTGAGACATTATACATTTACAACAGTTATAATGACTTTTGTTCTCAATTAATGGTTAATGATGGGTTTGAGTGCCAGGAGCACATTGTGAAGTCTCCCGAGTCTTAATATTTTCTGCTTCTAGACGACAAATCTTTAAATGTGTTTGGTAAACTTAAATGTGAAAATCTACTCTCAAGTCATTGCGTGTTCAGACTACTCTTAAATATTGAATATAGTAGTCCGTAAGGAAGGAAAACTCACTCTCCCAGTTTCTCTTTCAGCTCATAAACAGCATTGATGTCATCTTTTTTCCGAAGATCTCTCAATAGAGGCATGGTAATGCAGGGTAGGTGTGAGCTGCATATTATATACATAAACACACACAACACTAATATGTACATGCAAATTTTAACTGAAAATCATCAGCACATTCATTTTTAAGCCTGAAGCAACACATTTTGCATGCACTCTACAGCAACAAGCACTAAAGAATATGCTTTTCATTACGTGCAAAAGCCAAATTCTGATTCCTTTTGCAGATTTCAATGACTAGCAATGAGATTCGACAGATTTTCTTTTCCGTCACACAAGCTCTGCTGGGAAAACAGTTTTGAACGCACTCCTTGATGTTTGATTTCCTTGGAATAAAAAGACGCTATTAACACAACTTCTTATTTTCTACCAAAAACACCTCACTTTTGACATGCAGGTAACCAGTGCAATTCAGCTCAGTTGCTCCTGACATATCTACAAATAAAGGAATATTTTTTTATTGAAAGTAGATCAATAATCAGTGATATTCTCCCCCAAAATACCCTTTAGAAAAGATATCTAAGCAAAAGCTCAATTACCTGCTGATTGCTGCTGTGAAAATCTGAAAGGCAACAGTTTCCATTCACGTCACCAAACTCCCAACAGCCTCTCTGCTCTTTAATCGAAAATCACATTCATTTTACACCGATGACCTTGAACGCCCACATGCTTTAGAAGAGAAGTTGACGTTGAAAAGAGATTGACAAAAGGAGAGTAGGCACAGAAAGCAGAGAGAGAAAGTGGTGTGGGAAAAAAAGATCAAGAGAAAGAAGTAAAAAAAAGTCATGGAGATAGAGGGGTGGGTTGGTCAAACTACAACAGGCCCCTTAAGACTGGTTCAGACTTCCTCGAATGGAATGCTTGAATGTACGATAAGGACAGATGAACATTGTCTCCAGGAGATATCTGATAGGCTGCACATTAAATAAGCATTCTTCATCATTACAGTCAGGCTTTGCTGAACTGAAAGCTACAGTTTGTTTTAAAATGCCTTGAGAAGCCACTGTGTCTGTTTACATTATTGAGGCTGTTTTCAGTAATGCTCCCACAGATCCAGAGCTCTCGCAGCTCTCCTTGTATGGGCACAGGGGTTTTCCACTCGAGTATTATCATTCCACCCGTCTGTGAACACTGTACACACACTCACTCATAAACCCTGAATGACGGTTACTTTCTCACCTGCTGTGTGCTTTGGCCCATATATACGCTTTCTAACAAGGTATCGTAGGTAAATAGGTGAAATGTGACTTGACATCAGTCATACACTACACACTGAGACATCATGCCAGGCTTTTACCAAACAACAAATGATGTGCAAAAAGAATATGCAATGCATTATTAGGCAGAATATTAATAAAATCTGATTTGATTTGATAAACAATTACAGTGATGAACGGTAGAATTTTACCTTTTAAGATTTTTTTAAGCTACAAACCATTGTAAAAGTCTTGACATAGGCATCTCTTGTTGATGAACGTTGCAACAAAGTAATTCTATTTCTCACATTCCACTATGTTGTAATAGAAAATGACCACTAGAGGGAAGCCTTGATTAATTCGTAATAAAGGGCCCCTACACTATTAGAGAAACTTATTGTTGTCTAGAGATAATAATAAATGTCTTACAGTTATTTCAACTTCTTTTTTCTTTCTTTTTTTTACATAGAGAGTGAAGGTGAAGGGAGTGGAACACAAAGGAAAGGTAGTGACTCATATCAAGGCATATGCATTGCATGCTTCCTCTAGAATTCGATAGGGCTGTCAAACCATTAATCGCGATTAATCGCATCCAAAATAAAAGTTTGTGTTTACATAATATATGTGTGTACTGTGTATAATTATTTTTAATACATAAATACCCACACATGCATGTGTATTTAAGAAATATTTGCATGTATATACTGTATATAGACTGAGTGTAGCCTATATATAATGTATATTTTATATAAATAAAAACATTTTATATATAAATAAAAACATTTTATATATAAATAACCTATTTTTCTTAAATATATACATGTGTGCATTTATATACAAAATAATTATACACAGTACACACATATATTATGTAAATACAAACTTTTATTTTGGATGCGATTAATCGTGATTAATCGTTTGACAGCCCTAATATATACACACACACACACAAAATGTCAGGGTTCATGATCAGTTTATTTTTCGATATTTTTGATTATGCAAAAAAAAAAATGACTGTATTTGGTGCAAGAAACCAGAAAAAATTTGCCCTAAATCCTTTTACAATTTTTTCTTTAATACTGTTCATAACTTTTTTAAATCAATTACATAAAAACATAGATTGGCCTAATTTGATACTGAAAAGTAAGACTGACTGCCCCTCGCCTAACTCGTAGTGGGTCATATTAGATCTTAAAGGGATAGTTCACCCAAAAATGAAAATTAGCCCATGATTTACTCACCCTGAAGTCATCCTAGATGTATATGATTTTCTTCTTTCAGACGAATACAATCAGAGTTATATAAAAAATTGCCTGGCTCTTCCAAGCTTTATAATGGCAGTGAATGGCCGTTTCTGTTTTGAAGTCCATAAAAGTGCATCTATCCATGATAAAATTGCTCCACACGGCTCCGGTGGTTAATAAAGGCCTTCTGAAGCGAAGCGATGCGTTTGTTTAAGAAAAATATCCATATTTAAAACTTTATAAAGTAAAATAACTAGCTTCCGGCCAAACGAACATACGGATTCCACTTAAGTCTGTCTAAAGCGCAACTTATGCGAGTAATGTGACGTACTGCTGATATTTACGCTACGCCGCACTACGCTACTTCCGACGTCACAAGTTGCGCTTTGGGCGTAAGTAGACTGCGTAATAGTGCGTATGTTCGTTTGGCCGGAAGCTAGAATTTTACTTTGTAGCGTGTTAAAAATGGATATTTTTCTTACACAAACGCACCGCTTCGCTTCAGAAGGTCTTTATTATCCGCGTGGAGCAATTTTATGATGGATAGATGCACTTTTATGGACTTCAAAACAGAAACAGCCATTCACTGCCATTATAAAACTTGGAAGAGCCAGGACATTTTTTTATATATAACTCAGATTGTATATAACTTTCAGATGTCTGAAAGAAGAATGTCATATACACCTATAGGATGGCTTCAGGGTGAGTAAATCATGGGCTAATTTTCATTTTTGGGTGAACTATCCCTTTAACTCTTTCCCCGCCAGCATTTTTTTAAAGTTGCCAGCCACCGCCAGCGTTTTTTGATCATTTTCACAAAATGTTCATGGCCTCCAGAATATGTTGTTGTATGAATGTCTATGCAATATATCAACAGAAAGAACAAACCATCTGCTTAAAATAAAAAAAAATAAAAAAAACTTTTAATTCTAACTTTATGCATTCTTTTTTTTTTATCAACACTTGAATGTGGGTAAGTTCGTAAAAAAAAAGAAAAAGGAAAAAAGCAACATTTTGACTTAAAAGCTGAGAAAATCATGTTTTTGTCAAAGACTACATCTGGATCATATTCAGAACAGTAATCAAAACACAGATGGAGTAGATCGAGTCCATCAACACTTCCAAAGCTTCACAGTCTTATCCTGTCGACGTTTCATTCAGTAACATTAGGCAGTTTTGATTTATATGCTGTTTAATGTTGATGATCGGGTTATTTTACATATGCAGGTTACATATGAGATCGCCTGTTTCTGCATCTTCTTCGCATGTGTTTTCATCAGAAGATCCAGTAATCTTTCAAAACATCTGTAATAGCATTGATGGCGGAAATTTCCATTTGCATGAACATTTTCTACCCTCTTTCTGATCATTAGTGTTAAACAGTCTGTTGTGCTGCTGCCCCTTTAGGATTTCTACATGCAATTGATCTCTGTTATGATTGGCGTACCATTGCATAACAGTACACACATTGTGTTGTTCTCCAGGCGGAGTAGAAAATTCTGTTTTTCATTATATAGGCCTATCCCCTTTAATATGACACACACTTGAATCTTTAGTTGGTGGTGTTTGTTGACTCATAATTCTTCAATCTCACAGTGTTGAAGCTATGTAACCTTAGAACTGAAAGTTATGTTCAGAGTCCACAGGAACCTGCAGTTCTGGCTCGCCTACAATCTTGTGTGATCCTGAACAAGATGTCCATGATCCCCCAGCAGTCACTGTACAAATTACAAATATGTTTTATGAATATTATCACAGTGATGTTCTCAACAACCTGCTTCATTTTCTCAGATTGTGCTTCAAAAAAAGAAACCGATTTATCTAAATAACATTTTTCAGTTTCACACTGACTTTATACACATATATATATATATAAATTAAAATAAATGAACTGTAATATATTTTGAAATATAATTTGAATAAGCAGAATTTCCAGCATCATTACTCCAGCCTTCAGTGTCACATGATCCTTCAGAAATCATTCTAATATGCTGATTTACTGCTCAAGAGACATTTCTTATTATTATCAATGTTGAAAACAGTTGTGCTGCTAAATATTCTTGTGGAAACCTTTTCTTCCCCTCAGGATTCTTTGTTGAATAGAAAGTTCAAAAGAAGTGTCTATTATATTCTGGTCTCCAGATATGACAGATCTCTCCTTTCATGTTTTTTGTGATAAAAAAAAAAAAAAGAAGTAAATTACCAACCACCCTGTAATATTGCAATATGACCAAATAGAACTCTAATATTGCTACCGTGCAGCATGTCAACTTACATGGTAATGCTGGCTAACTTTGAATATTAAAAAACTTACCCAACTTAATAAGCAGAGACCGCTATAAGAAAAGCATTTGTGTAAACACTGACTCAGCCAACTATCTGTTTGTCTGACCAATGGAAGACAGGGGGAGTATTTTGTTATTGTTTCAGTAAATCAATACTTCTGATTATATTTTTAGTGAATCCAATTAGTAGCGCTGATGTTTGTCACTTGATCATTGATACAGAAAATGCTCAGTGCCAAAACTGAAACTATTCTTTTCATTTCAAGACAGGGAGATACTGTTTTGCAGGAAATGTAATTATAGAAATGTCTGGAAAGGTCAGATTGAAACTTATTAGAGAAGTAAGAAGTTGTTTTTGTGAAAGTCTGCTAGTAAACAATCTTGCGCTGTAGGGTAGGACCGCCCGTGAGCCGTTGACAGTACGGCTGTGAATGAATGGCCATATTGATTTTTGTGCTAGTTCTTATCTATGGCATACTAAACTTCTGACCTAAATAGGAACAATTTGTACCCCCAGCTGTTTACTTTTATAAAGTAACACCGTGAACTACAGCCAATAACGTGGGCACTGCATGTGCTGCAATTGCAAAAATGATTTGACCCCTTTATGCAAATGAGTCTTAGTTGTAAATATGTCTAATGTGATATGTGTTTTGATAACATCATTAACTAACTTTGACTCACTGATTGACTCGATATCTGTATGAATATGTGAATAGTCATCTTTCTACACTGGCACTATTTTTGTTTGTCCAGCATCTGACATGTTGTGACATGTGATTTCCCAGACATGTTGTAAGAGTTTGTCATACAGAGAATTTCTTTCTTCTGCTGAACACAAAAGAATATATTTTGAAGAATGTCGGTAACCAAACAGTTGATGGACCCCATTGACTTCAATAGTATTTTAGTCCATACTATGAAAATCAATGGGCCCCATCAACTGTTTGGTTACCGACATTCTTCAAAATAATCCTCTTTTGTGTTCAGCAGAAGAAAGAAACTCATACAGGTTTGGAACCACTTGAGGGTGTGTATGATGACAGA